CCCCCCCCCCCCCCCCCCACCCCCCAAATCCGCCCTTGATTATGGCTGCAGTGCGTCGTCATGTGAAAACACTCTTTAAGCGTGATAAAAATATTGATATATTTAAGAGAAGCAGTATTTTGATTAGTGCATTTTTTTTTCTTTCAGGGCAAGCAAATCATGGCTGTTCATTGCGATACCAATGACGCTAAAGTAAGTCAACTGTCACGCTCCAAGGACTCAGATCAAAGACAGAAGTACACGTGCGAGTGTAAAGGCACCGTGAGCACTGGGGCAGGCCAAATGTATTGTTATCTTCATTACTGGGAATGCCCTCTAAGCACATAAAAAAACAAAAAAACAAAAAAACAAAACAACGAAGGGTAAAAAGGTGAGCGGTGATAGTGGTGGTAGAGGACGTGTGGTTCGCGGGGGAGGGAAGGGTCAGCGGAGATAGAAATGTTTTTCAATGCAAATGTTCCATTAAATGATATTAACCAAGATGATAATCTATTGTACTAACTAATAATTGAAATTTATTATGATGAATTTCATAACTAAGAACAGAAGCACATGGCTCTGGCTAAGAATGATCAAATGCGCTTTGAAAACTGCTTTTCTATTATAGTAAAAATACTAAAGTAATTAAGTCAGATATAGGAACTGACAAGACAACATTCCTTCTGCCTATATCTTAAATCAACGTTATTAATTTTGGGAGAACAAGATAACTCTCCCCTGAAAACTGGAAATCTGAAAGTGCTTGTTTTATGGCCAGTGCAGCGTATAAGCGTTATGTAGAACTTCGTCTAAAACAATACTGTGACAAACCTGCTTAACATGGTTGGACGCAATGATTTACGAATGCATATCATGTTGTTCAGTTTCTCCTAAATTAAAAGGCAAATATCTCAAATTTGTTTATCGTTGGCGATTTATCTTCCCCTATGCTGTTTTTCAGACAATAATAAAATCTTACTGTTGTTGAGTCTTTCTGACAAGAAGACGTGCATAATTATCATTAAGTAACATTATCCATCAAATATATTTTCTCCTCTATCTGATTGGTCTAAACACGTCGCGTTTAAATATGCCCCAGCGAAAACTTGGGAATCCCCAATTTTCAAAAGCTCCCACGCGCGTTACGAAAAATATTTGAAGGATCATAAACACAATAGCAGTCATTTGACTTTTAGCAAAGTTCCTCGAGCCTCGCTCTCGGAAATCTGTTCGCCTTTTTAAAAACAGATTTGTGTCCGCGGAATATCCGAGCATATTACTTTCTACGCCAAATGGTGGCTATTGTTTATTTAAATTAATTTATCTAATAAGTGTAAGGAAATCGTTAATAAGCTTTCGTGAAACAGCCCGAGAGTCATAGACTTCAGTTTGACGACAATTTCGACAAGTTTAAAGCTTGTAGGATATGCAAGAATTTAGATTACTTAAACAACATGCCGGCATGTAGTTAGAAAGAGTCTAAAGAGAGGTTTGACGACACTCAAGATTTTAGAGTGTGAGACTGAATCAAAACGTAACTCCAAACCGTCTGCATTTTTTCATTCTTAAAAATGCAGAATTATCGTGCTTTCGGCCAAGCAATGGACATTCCACAACTAGGTTACTCTAGGGGTGGCGAATAGTCATACAAAAACCATGGGTCTCGGACATAAAAAAAAATATAAATTGTTTAATTGTTGCCAACCAGCACTGATTTTATCAGTTCGAGAAGTACGACTAGAAAATGCATGCATTGTATTCATATTTATAAAAGTGACAGCTGTACAAAGCAAAGATGCGACGAAGGTTTGAAATAACCTGCAACATAACTTACAAATTATTACATGGCTAGTTCCTGCGTGCAGGCAAAATGGGGTTATCTCAGCAACCATTGCCTGCTAGTGTACAGAAAAGGATAAGTATTCTACTGGCCAAGCTTGTTTGGTCAAGATGGCAGGACATATAGTTCTTTTTTGCGTGTTTATGGAAGGACCTCCACTACGTCTTGATCTATAACCATGCAAATAAAACTTGACCATTATCCTGCCATATTCACCTCACGCTTGGTTTACTTATTAATAACCCATATTTATTATTCCTTTATAATATATGTAAAAAGTTGTTAATGGCTGATTATGGCATAGGTCGACATAGGGGAGTGTATAAAAGCCTGATGTAACCCACATAACGTCTTGCAAAAATTATATTAGCATCGAACACATGGAACTGTTGTTTTTGTTGTTCTCGGCTAGTTTTGCCGTTTGGAGAAAGGAAGAATTTTATACGATTTAGTTAAAAACATAAAATTGTATTGTATTTACAAATTTTCAACACTCAAAATGATATTCTTTTCAATTTCTTGAAATATTCTTAAAATTTTGCAAATAAAACAGGAGACCTACACTGCCATAAATCTACAAACTGTAAATATGTGTGAATAAATTTCTCGTTTGCAATTTTACAAATACTTAGTTTCATCTTTGTCTATACTCGGATTCCACCCTGCCTTCCTTGCCCCCTCCATGTATTCCGAGGTTATTCAGCATCATTCAACCCCTGGGGGCGGGGTACCCCCTTATGTGGGCTATATAGGTATGTGCAGCCCCAAAGGGCATGGCTTTTCAAGCGTTTTGGTCAGAAATAGGGTATAGAATTTTTGGTCAGGTCAAAAATACGGTGGTCAAAATCGCAGATTTCGGTCATAAATAGGGTAAGGGTTTTCGCAAGCGGGCCGCACACCCCGACCCAATTTTTTTACCCCTCGGGCATCCAATCATCCTTCCCCAGTTCTCTTCTTCCTCTCTTAGTCCCGACGAGAAGACCTCGGGAGAGTTTTAGTTTTCGCCAAACTTCGTGAAAAATCCTCAGCGGCGTTGAAAACAAAAGAGGTCAGGGAAATCGTATGATTATTGTAACGTCATCTCGAAAAGCTCCGTTTTCCAAATGTTTTCCGTCCACACCACGACCACACAAAAACGCAAAGCCGGCATTTTGAAATTCTCCCGGTCTTGAGAGCGTTTTCTAAAAGCTCCGTTTTCATGACGGATTAGTGTGGATGGTAGGCCTAACCGTAGAAACGAAGCTGCGTTTTCCCATTTTTCTGGCGTAGTGTGGACTGCCCCCCCCCCCCCCCCCTCAATAAAAAAAAGAAAAAAAGAGAGAAAGAAAGAAAGAAAACTAAAAAACGGCAAGAATAATGGACGTTTTCTTGATATGCATGTATATATCGAATCCCGAACCTATCTACAGCTGTTACAACATTTGTCAACAACGTAATTGGCCTATATATCCTACTGTGCAACTAACGTTCATTGCCTGGGCTACTCCGGCTTCACGGGCCAGTTTAACCATTATTTTTACTCTGAGTTTACAGGTTTTCTTTCCACTCCAACTTTCATTAAGTAGGATGAAAATTTCTGGAGCCAGAGATTTTCTTCTTGAAATTTTTTAGTGAAATAAATAAGGCGCACCATTCAGTACTTTCCCCCACCCCTCCCACCCTCTGCCTCCATCTTGGCAGCACCCTGCGAAGAGATTTTGCTTGAAATGTTTATGCAAATTTGGCAACATTCTACGCACGGCGATAGTTGTTACATTCATCGTGAACACGGGAAATTCACAACACTGCAAACATGTCCACCGATGAGAATGGGAACCCTGGTTCTGGAAAACAGTCAACGTTATCTGGGGAAGAGAAAGCAGAGCCAGCGCAAGTTGAAGAGCGTGAAAAATGGGGTCGAAAAGCAGATTTCATTCTCTCTTCTCTCGGCTACTGCGTCGGATTTGGAAACATTTGGAGGTTCCCTTACCTGGCTTACAAAAACGGCGGAGGTAATATTTAATTAAGCCAGAGAAATGGTGTTCAATGGTTACACATTATAACGAGATTTGAGCTTCAGAATTTGTTCTTCAGTTTGCGCTAGTTCGCTACAGTGTGTCGATATGGGATTAACGGGAAAATTCGCCCCGTTTGATTGAATGTTTTGATTTGGAATTAAAGCACGCTGGAAAAGTGCTAATGGCGAATAACGGGGATTTACTGTGCTTACAACCAATACAGCAATTATGATTAATATCAGAAATAATTTCTGGCAGATTTAAACCATACATTTGTGTAAGCTCCACATGCGCGCATGTTATTTTTGGAACCACGCGCAATCGGTCGAATACTAAGGTACAAAGATCGGGATTTGTTTAAGACGTTTAACTGTCTTGTTCGCTCGTTTATTCGCTCCACTGAAACAAATTTAATTCTGCAATGTTTATTCTAGTTAACAGAGTTTCTGAAAAAAGAAAAAGAAAAACATTAATAGCAAAAACGTCGGCTTATCCCCCCACACGACGCTTTTGGAAGAAGCGTTGCGTGACGACCCTAGGGTTCTGCTCCCTCAGGACTGCTGCTCATAGCTTCGCTCCCAGGGGAGGGAATCCCTGCTGACAGAGTCGAAAGTACTATCGCGATTACATTTATACTAATGAATAAGGGGAGAGGGAAGGAGAGACGGGAGAAGAAGAATCAAAATTAATACTCGAAAAAGCGGGGAAATATTATCAAACAAGCGAACCTCGAAGAGGAAAAACAAATTTGGAGCAACGTCGAGGCTCGTCACGCAACGCCCATTTTGGCGTTGCTGGGAACGTTGCGTGACGATTTCAAAAGAAAGCTTCAAAGGAGATTACAGCTTGTTCAAAAGGAAAAATGCCCAAAGCAAATGCTCTTAAGTAATGATTTTATGTCTTGTTATTTTTCCTAAACAGCGTCCTTCCTTATCTCATATTTTTTGCTGTTGTTCTTGAATGGTATGCCACTCTTCTTCCTGGAGCTTGCGATCGGTCAGTGGTTTAGCTCCGGAGTGATTGGCGTGTGGAAATCAATTTGTCCGTTAATGAAAGGTACTATGCTCCTACGTCCAAGGTCAAAATACGGGACCCCCACTTGTTCACAGACCAGTGCTAGTGGCCCAANGACAGTCATTGTTTGGGGTTGATGCCCGGAGTGCGGAAAAACACAAGCCCAAGGGAGATTATGCGATGGGGCGGAGGAAGGGAATGGCCGTTTGGGGGTGATAGTAAGAACAAAGATAAGGAATTGAAAGCATTTCTAACCAGATCCTTTTCTTCTCCCAGTCTGTGCCTCCTCTCCCTCGCGATCATAGCTGTAAAGAAAGACAATAAAATTAACAAAAACAATGTAAAACACAAACAATAATGGGCAAACGTCTCTCGCTCGAGGATTAGGCGGAGGGCGGGAGAGGACTGACTTTCCAGGTTATAATGCCTTCTATGTGAAAAAAGTAAGAAGAAATATTAATATTACCATCAATGCTATTCTTACATATTTCCAGGAGTCGGTTACGCCATATGTGTGATGTCTTACCTCTGCTGTATTTACTACATCATAATCTTGACCTGGACATTTTACTACTTGTTTGAATCATTTCGATCTGAAGTACCTTAGAAAACCTGTGACCACCCGTGGAATACGATGTTTTGCCAGTAAGTGTGCAGTGTTTTTGAGTATTTTTTTCCGGTATGTGAAGAGGGAAGAAGGGAAGAG